CACGTGCGGATAAATAAATGAAAGTGCAAAAAAAAAACTTGATTAAGAATTATTATAAGGAATCTTATCGTGTTTTACATAATGCAAGAGTCATTCTACAATTTATATTGAATTTAATACCAATTTCACTTCAACACTTTAACTTTAACTTATTAATTTTAAATTCGGCATCCACCTGAGCGATTACAATATTATAAATATTTTGAAAATGTATTTATTTTTTTAACTTGTATAATTTTTATTTAATAATGATATGAATAATTTTACGGATAAAAAAAAACGTCCCCTTGATTTTTGATGTTTTTAACTATGTATGGTTGAATAGAAATCATGCTTTCATAATATTCCATTTCCCCACGGTAAACAATTTCATTTTGACAAGAAATTGACCAGAGATAAATGATAAGAAATTGCTTATACATTTTGACTAGTTCAACATTTACTTGAAAAACGGTCCAAACTATATAACTTATAATAATATTCAAAAAGAATCCAATATTACGCTTTAGAAGATTTGGCCTGAGGTAAATATATCTACTTAAATTACAGAAAACCTACTCAAAAAAATTTAATGGTATGTAACACTGCAACATAATTTATCATCGATAAGGTTCCCAGGAGTCTGAAAAGATGACAGCAAGCCTTTTAACTGAGAATAGTTAAGATCGTGATTTATACTCTTAGTTTCATATTTACTTTTTTTTCTCTTTCTAACGCTTCTTGAATTATTTGATTCTCGCCAATAGTCTTCTAGCAGCTACTGGGATGTTCTAGGCGACATTTGTGGTCGTTTGGTTCTCTTATGTAGATATCAAGAAAGCACGTGGTTTATAATAACTAGTGTTGCCCAAATGCGAGACCGAGACGAGTCTTGGTCTTGCAAACTGAATCTTGGTCATGGTTTTGGTCTTGCGCAAAAGTCTCGGAACAGTCCTGCAGTTGCTTATCAGCTTATAGTTATAGAGATATTATTGTAATTTTTTAGATAGGAAAAACCTAACTAAGGCCGAAGGAAAAATTAGAGGAATTAAATGCAAAAGTATATTGGTTATACCAATTATTAACATATAGTAACTAAGATTGTCAAGTATTAGTAACTATTTTGCCTTAATTTTTATTTAAAAAATTGATTTTTTTTTACCAGTCATAAAAATAACCTGGTCTTGGTCATGCAACACTTAGGTGGCCTTAGTTTTGTTCTTCCACTTTGCAAGACCAAGACCGATTTTGGACAACACTAATAATAACCGGACGCGATCAAAAATCAATTCCTCTTTATCAGGATAGTTAGCAACCTTTGGCAGAAATCTCAATCATGTTGTTTTTTACGAGATAGGTTAATGGCCCTCTTCCCAACTGGCAATCTACTGGACCAGGGACTATGCTGTAAGACACAGGAGTCGTTCACCTTTCTGTGAATCTCTGGGTGGGGAATTCGCAGTCCCCGTGCGAGAATTAAACCCGCGCCGTAATGGTCTAAGCAATGGAGTAAGAACTGCGAGTTGTAAATTTCAATAAATAGATAAAAAATTGTTTTGAGTATTTATTGACTAATTATAAAACGAGTGATTCGATTATATTAATTTTTATTTTTTTAATATCTAGTTATTTAGAGCGCACTTTCATTTTTTCTGAGTATTAGCATATTACAACATTAAAAAAAACGAAATGAATAAACTTCACAATTAATAAAAAAAGAGACCTTTTTAACGATTAAGGAGGATGTTGAAGAGCTCACTTTGAGCTGGCCCGTATAACAACAATCTTATCAGAAGGTAATGAAGTGTGCTATAGCAGGCAGCATTGTTAATGCAACTCATGAATGCATAATGTTGGCTGAGGGCGTTGATTCTACACTCTTGAGTGCGTCCCGCTAAGACCTGAAGAAGCTTTGTCAGGCACACTCTGCATATCCTTTTCACCGCGGCATGTTCTTTCTCAGGGAAGGGGGTCTAAGTTTTCCTCTCAGTTCTGATCTCCCTGAAAAGGGGAAATACCATTCTATTTATTTTATGAGTTAACTCTTCACTGTTCTCCACGTTATGGTGGACTATCCCTCAATTTTTAAACGTGGAAGGATCGAACAAATTCTTCTTAAATTTTTATTTAAAGAATTTTTAATTTTTAATTATTTATTGATTATTACAACAATCTCTCTCTTGGACATTAGTTATAGGGATGTAGGATAACATTCACACTATATGTACAAAAAATATAAAATTATATAATAATAATCAAAAAGTATATTGTTTAAAGAATTAATACAAATATATCTTCGCCTATAAAGAGTAAAAATTAAACGATGTCTGAAAATCATTGAGTAAATAAAAGATAAACCAAATTACTTTTTTTATTTTATTTTAACAATTTAAAAAAAAATATCTGGATTACATTATATTATTTTTTTTGCAGAAATTCCTAAAATAAAGAAACATGATTATACTTCCCAGTTATTACAATGAATTAATATATTATTATAATTTTAGTTGCAAAATGAATCGACTATTTTAGACAAACATTGTCTAATAAGACATTTCAAGTCAAAACACTTATATAATTTCTTATTTCATGTTTCGATCGGTTATCACATTTAATAGTCGTTACATACTTTATAAATACATTATTTTTAATCGATTAATGAAATTTTATGAAATTAATACTAGAACGTTTGAACCCTATAACCCAACTTAAGGTGAAATCTAAGATTTTTAAAATATAAAAGTATCAATTATGGTAATATGTTACTGCCTAAATAAGATAATATAGTGAATGGAATTTAATAAATTATTTCATTTTATTTTTATAATGATCCTCTCAATCTATGAAAATTTAATTTAAAAAATGATTAACGGTAGTAGGTACACCTCTCCTGGTAAGCCCGTTACATAGATTTAACCACAGGTTCAGAAAGATAAATTTATAAAAACTTCTATAAGGGCTTTAACACTTTTTTGTGAAGAGTGAATTAGATTGAGCCGTCATTAGATTTCCAAAGTGTTAACGCTCGGGTAAAATCGGCTAGAGTCGACTGCTTGAATGTTTTACAAATGGATTAAGATATCGCAGAAACTAAAAATAAGGCCTGCATACTGTAAGCGAGGAAATTGTTCCGAATTCCATGCTCTCTGTAATAGACTGTAATTAAAAATTGTATCTTACCGCAACGCCGTATTGGGAAGGTCAAAAGGAAAAATAGTGTCGAAAACCAAATGATAACTAGTTATTATACAAATGATATATATATATTTATAGCCGTGGACATAAGGTTATTATACATGGGACGAAAATGTATTTAATGGAAATTAAAAAAAAAAAAATTAAGTTTAATTTGTGGGACCTGTACAAAGAATTGACTTTTCATAAATAGTTATGAAATTAATATTGGAGGAATATGAGGATAAGAATGAAAAAAGATTTTATAACAATTATATAAAAAATATAACATAGAGGATAGGATAATGATGACAAGATTTCGACTTGAAAATGGGCAAAATTACCTGAAACGTGGTCGAAAAAAAAAAATGAATTGAAGCATGGATAGGAGGTGAAAGGGTTTAATAAAGTTATTTCCTCGCAATTGTTGATTTTATTAATCTGTAATTAATTTTCTTTATTAATGGGCTGAAATGAATTATTGTTTGAAATTTTTCTTAAAGACATATGCCCGGGTTTCTCAGCCCTAAGGTCAGCAATGAAGAAACGTTGTAACTAATAGACAATTTGACGTTGTAAAACTTTAGCCATTGTGTCCTTACTTCTTCCTTCGGTCTTCCGCGCGCTCTCAAACCATATGGGATTCCACAGTATGAGTGTATTACCGCTCTACCATACGGACCGCTCTACCATATTATCATCCATCCTAACAATACGGACCATTCATTTGAAGCACTCAATTCGTACAGTTACTCATAACTCAAAGGATAAAAGCACAAAGCTATCCCTAGATAGCCAGGTCAAGCTATCTCTGATAGCTTAGAAATAGTTATCTAGAATGTACCGACTGGACACAGAACCCATTTTCAAGACTTAGGGAACAATAACAGATTTCAGCAAAAGATCTCCATCTCACAGACTTCATATTAATTCTAAAAGATAAGGATACTAATTCTTAATAGTTCTCTCCCACGCTTCCTTTGCCGTCCTCTTCCGACTTCCCTTCATCCCCTTGCTATTCTTGGGTATGTAAACGTCATGATCCTATGGACAAATCATTCTTATAGTTACATTCTTGAAATCACACTCTTGTAGGAGACCTGGAGTGAACTATTGTAGTCAACCCATATATTCATACATTATTCTGTAGTTTAAGATGCCATTTGTAACAGATATTATGGATAAAAATATTACTCATAACGTCTTCATCGTCTGGCTCCGATTCGTTAACTGTACGAACTGGGAAGCTCCGTGAGAATGCAAAATATTTTATATTTCTGAAATTAAAAAAAAAATCATACAACTTCGCACATTCTTGTTTTATTAAAACTAAAATAATATTTATGATTTAAAAGAGAAAAGCCACTCACTTCCTGGTCTATAAAAAAAAAAATTATTGTAATAATAAAAGATCATAAATGATTTATTTTTTCTATGCAACTATATTCACATACTTTTAAAAAACATTTTTATTGTACAACTCATTTTCCGAATTATCAATAACTACACGTAGTTGAGGAAATTAAATATATTTTAATATTACCACTCGTTTTAGCACACTTTTTATTTCTTATATTATAATAAAGATGACCAAGTGGTTGGTTATCTATTAAGTGATGCGACAGCGAATTAGGCGTTACAAAAAAATCTACGTTGAATAGTTACTAACGCAGCAGATTGCATCCATTGAGACATCGGTCCACTCTTGTCCTGACAATGGAGGGACACATTTGTGCCGTCGTAGCTTCCTTCCTCGATATTTTTTTTCTTTTAAAAAAAGATTCCACACCCCCGACTATCATCGGCGGAAGAAGAAAAACAAACTGGACGGCGTCAAGACGGTCATTATGCTAACGGACCGGGAAGGAGGAAAAAAATCGTCAGATGGACCCTTCATATTTAATGGGCTAGAAAGAGATCTCGCATCCAGCGCCTTGTCCGAGTCAAATGACCCGGACTCTCTTTAGTTCACTCAGCCTGCAACAGACGATGGTTCGTTCATTGATTTGGTTATTTATAGAACTATTATTTTAGGACCAGATTTTTATTATAGCTGATAAGTACTTCGTGATGGAACGATGAAAATTTATTTCTTCCCGGAATATTTGAAAATTGTATGCTTATTGGATATATCGATGATGGTTCTAAGCAAAACAGGGAGCTTTTATTACATAATGAAATGTTGAAAGAGTTGAAAGGTTGTTTATTCTCTTCAAATTTCCATCTGCACCTCTCATGAAAGTGACAATAATGTTTAATTATGAAAAAAGTGACAATAAGCATATTTGTTGATAGGTATTGCAATTGGCATATTAGGCACAAGGGAAAATTGTAACCAGCAGCACGTCTTCCTTGGTGTTTGTTTACTTCCTTAAATCAGGAAAAGAGATCACTCATCCAGATCCTTTTCAGTCGTCTTCAGTTGAATATGTAAGCAGTGGTCATGCCGTTTCTTGTGGTTTCCGTGAAGTGTGTCTATGCTGTAGGTCGATAGCTGGTAGTCTTAAGTCGGTACGTAAAGTTTTGTTGTTTGCCTACCGAGGAGCTGCTGTTACTAGTCCTAAAATTTTGTATTGAAAAAATTGCAATTTTTGTAAGTGAATCTTTTCTACTAAAATTTGTGAGGTGTGTCCAAATGGGTTTAAGCAGGCATTTATAGGAGAGGAATAAGTTAAAAGAGAAATAGATGTGAGAATTGGGGCGGAGGGTGAGAACGTGTTTTAAAATGCAATTTTTTTGTAGTGAATGTCTTATTGCTTATAAAAACTAGCTTTCGGTCGTAAAATATTATATTTAACAATTTTTTGTAAATTGGAGTTTTTACTATACTTAGATTCCTAGAGATAGGTTGTTGAAATAACATGTAGGAAAGTATTTTATGTTTTTTAAAACTATAATGGCGATATCAAGTAGTGTTGCCCAAAATCGGTCTTGGTCTTACAAAGGGCAAGGCCGCCTAACTGTTGCAAGACCAAGACAAGGACTGGTAAAAAAAAAAAAAACGATTTTTAGGCAAATACGCAAAATAGTTACTTGACGTAATGCTAGGTGACTTAAAGGAAGGCGAAATACAGTCATTTTAGTCATTCGGCGGCACAGGACAGTAACATCATCTCCACCAAGTCATCAATTTATATCTTAAGCTAATATTTAAATTGAATCTGTAATTCATTTTCTTTATTAATGGGCTAAAATGAATTATTCTCATACGCTTTGAACCTTTTCTCGAGGCCCAGCATTGGGGAAATATTGTAACCAATAGACAATTTGACATTGTAAAGCTTTTTGGGAAGTTACCATGTTTTACAACCTAGTACCTCAAATATCTTAGATATATTAATAAATCTTGATTTTCAGCAAATTTTTAATCAGTAGTCCTGAAAAACTAAGCTAAAAAAATAGGTTCTTTTGAACCACTTTAGTTAAAAATTCTTAAACTGTGTAGAAGAATGAATTTTAATATAATTTTCAATGTATTGTCACTAATATATGTTTTTTCTTTATTAAACAGAAAGAATAATTTATATAATTAAAGTATTTAATAATCGTATTTAATTTATAATATAATTATTTATTACTGTTGAATTAGTCGTCCCTATCTAACATGCCAAAAAACTTATCTGAAAATATGTGGTGCTCGATTTTAATGTTTTGGGAACCTTGTTTGCAATTAATCTATTAGTGGTAATGATAATGATTCATTACTATTAGAATTAAATATGTCCATCTTTTTCTTTATTTTTTTATTTTAGGCATGATATTTCAAGCTTTGGACATGGTAAGATCCATCAATCGGAGAAGACAAAGAACATGGATAAAATGTCATGTCCACTGCGGAGGGACAAACAGAAAACAACGAACCAAACGACGGGTCATGATTTGTTGTGGTTGGCTGGCACGGCGGAGGGATATATCAACAAGAGCTGGCAGCAATATATCATTCGCCTGCAACAACATCAACAAAGGCCGTGCTTTATAGGATGTCTAGTGTTCGAGTGTGTTCTCACTGGGTCGATTCTATGGCCCCAGTATGAAATGAAGTCCTGGTATATAAGTATTTTTATAATGAAAACATTAAGTGGTATTTATTAAAGATAAGTTGAAGCTATTTCAACTTTTCGATATTTTAGTTTTTTAAAAATAAATGTTTTAATTTATCTTTTTTAGACATTTTTATTTATTTTTGTCTTCATTGGAAATTCTTTCTCTCATATCATATGTTTTATTTATATTTCACCAATTACAATAGATCTCATCTTCTCCGTGTAAATATTGATGTTTTTTATTTTCATTAATTTAACATTTTTCTTATCCTTGGAAGAGCCTAGCTGCGCAAAGCTGTTCAAGAAAAAAAACTTTAAAAAGGTTTTTCGATATATAAATATGTATAAGGACGTGAGTTTTCATTGTAAGTTATTTAAATAAATTATTCACAAAATTAATCAAGTTAAATTCAAATAAGATCGATTATATGTTATAGGGTAATAAAAATCTTGCTATATTATTTTCTCTTAACTTGTCATATAAAAATTCTCTTATTTGATTGATTTAACGAATCATTATAAAAAGTAGAGTTACATTGATGTATCTGTAGTATCTGGAGAGCATTGTTAATTAGTAAAAACGTATAAATTTGTAAAAAAAATATTGTAAAAACGTATCTTAAATTTGTCTGATATTTAAAGAGTAACACGATTAAAGAGTAAAAAGATTTCTCTCTTATTTTTTTAAATAAAAAAACCTTTTTAAACATTTAAAAAAAATGTTTATAAGAAATTTGGATTTTAATTTTCACAAAAATCCTTTCATTCCACTTACTGTAACTGTCTTATTTAATTATAAAAGACAAAAGTAAACTTTAGAATTAACGCATACAGCGTGCATAGCACTCTTACCTTAAAATGCCCTTGGGCAATAAAAGGAAATAAAAAAAAAAATAATAAAAAAAAAATTACGTATATATCATTTATATATTGTACTTTGTCATAAAGAAATTCCTGGGGGGTAGGAAAAAAAAATAGAATTAACAAATAAAAATTTCTGTTATCTTCAATATATGTAGATTCAAATTTTGGTTTGTGTTTTGGTATTAATCTTTTTTATTCAATTATATTTTTACTTCTCCTAATATTTGTATAGTAATTATTTTCTTTAATGTATTTTTTTTTACTTTTCTATAAATGGCCGTATTGGATAAAAAATGTATTTTTTATTAATTTTGGTTAAATTGTAAAGATGAAAGATCAATAAAGAGCTGTTTACCCAAATTAGTCAATAAAGATTTCATGATATGAAGGCAAGGAGGTTAAGATGGGCGGAGAATGTAGCTCAGAGCAATCCATCAGAAAGCCTTTACACAACAATGATAACAACGATGTCTTAATAGCAGACAAAACACCACGTGTAAGGCCAAGACCCAGATGGATAAATCGAATCAACAAAACTGTAATAACTAAAGAGAAATAGCCTAAGATAGACAGAGATAGAGGGAAAAAAAGAAGATATATATGGAGAGAAAATGAGAGAGAGTATTTTAAAAAATCTAATGAAATATGCGTGAGCTGTAGAATTGCACGGTCGTCACAATTGTGTGAAAATTCTTAATCTGCACACAGTAAATAAGTTATAAATCGCAATAGGTCGACAGAAGTGTTACGTTAAATTAGTGAAGAATAACTAATTAATCACTAAAAAATAAATAAATAGGCCTGAACTAATTGTCCGAAAGGTAAAATGAGAGGAAGACAAAATTTCGATTGATCTAGTATTGTATTCTTGCAGGCTTTTAGAGAGTATTCTTTATACAAACAATAGTAAATTAGTAAATATACAATAGTTTAATAGTAAGAATTTACCAGGATATGGGAAATTATAATGGGTTAGAAATATCTAATCCAATCGCTAAAAAAGATATAAGAAAATTATATTTTTTTCATCTCTAATATACTAAATTATAGACTTATAAAATTGGTAGGGTAACCCAGAGTATTGTCCTCTAAATATTGCATCAAAAACAGGTCTTGTTTCTGCTCTTTTTTTATGTGAATACTCTTTTAATTTAATTTTAAAACATAGTTCAACATTAATATTTTAAAAATAAAATTTTAGTGTTTTTATGTTTTATATTTGTTATATATGTGGTTTTTTTTTGACAATTTTAGATTTTATATTAATGTTATTAATTGGAAGTATTTTAAATGTCTGATTTTTTTACCAAATATGATTTTGTGAAGTTATCCTTAAGAGTGATGCAATATATTTAATATAGTACAAAAAGGGAAAGAAAAGATGTTGTAATACTATAAGGATAATAATGTTTGTAATACTGAGATAGACTCTTTTTGTATGGGGTTCTTTCCTCGAAACGCATAAAGATTAAAAAATTAAGATAGATAAGTATATAGCCAAAGATTGCTGGTGCAGTAGGTTGATCATATTCCTTAAGCTCAGCCTTTATTAAATATATTTGAAATAGAATACCAAAGAATGTGGATGTGGGACAGAAAAAAAAAAAAACTAAATCACTAGAAGGAAACATTAAACGCTGACTTTGACACTTGGAGCAATCATATTGGGCCTAATAAAAGTTTCAACCCCAGCACTGACTCACATACTCTCTTTGTCCGTCCTGGGGGGATGGTATCCCTATAGTCCTCCCCCTTGTGTCAACACCGGCCTACGATCCCCCGGGGTCGAGGAACTAGGGCGATAAAACTGACACCGTATATCACCCTTAATAAGCCTCAGTTTCGTCCTGCATGTACCCTCAGATATGAAGGATCTTTTTTAGATTTCCCACTTCTTTCGGTGTGCAGGCGTTTTGGTATATGGATGGATCAAGGAAACTAGCCCTGCACGTGCCTGTCAACAGTATAATGGCCTAGGGTTTTTTCATTGAAGAGCAATAGGAAATATTTATTTTTATTTTATATTTGCAACTGCGTTGAAACGCATTAAGAAAATGTGCTGTCATTCGTTCTCTCCTCTTTCTTCTTGATAAGTATTTATATTGTGAGCAGATCTCTAGGTCATTGCCTTCTTAGTCTTTTTTGAGGCTCACCAGGTAAAAAGATAAGCCAAGAACAAGATGAGGAAGAAAAAGAGAGAACAAGTGGATTTTAAAGATTAATAGTCGAAGAGTGGAATGTTGTTTATTTGTAATGTACGTTGGATTTAACCTTTGGTATGTTTATGTCGTTAATCGGAGAGACTTTAAATAAATCTAGACGTAATTCATATTTTTCTAAATATTTTGTGGTCTGAAATTTGTTTATGTGGACGTCTTTTGAAAAACCCCAAAGTTCTGCTACGTCCTGATATGTCTTAGTATAGTGGTGTAAATTAGTCGCTTGTTTGGGAAGTTGAGCGGATATCTATAATCTAAGATATGTGACAGTTGCTTGTATAGACTGGTCAGTTATCGTTTTTTTTATTTTGTGTGTACGTTTCAGGTGAGTTTTGTCCAAGTATAGTCCGAGATTACCGTGCATAAGTTTTTGAGTGAACTATTCTGTTGTTTATTGTTACAGCTGTACACAAAATCTTCCGGTGGGATAACTGAACTTTATTTCACTCGTTGCCATTTATTTTCATTTTCCTATTTGGAAACCATTTTTTAAGCTCTAGAGGTGATTTTGAAGGGTAATTGATGCGATAGTTGATTTTTTGTGGGAATAAAGGTGGTAGTGTCGTCAGCGAACCTATAACTGGTGATGGTAGATTTCTCAGAGATATCAGGTGTGTTAAATAAAAAGAGAAGAGAACTTAAAAAACTAACTTGTAATACGCCCGTAAGTTGAGAAAAACATACAAAATATTACGTTATGCTTCAATTTAGGAAATGATAATATCATGGAAATGGTTCATTCATGTATTTTTTATAAAGAACAACAATATATTAGAAAATGGCAAAATTATAAATGGAATAAAATGGACTTAATGTTAAACATATGGAAAACTTATGTAAATCGAATACAAAATCGTATGCACTACTAACCATTGAAATGGTGAAAGTAGAGGTGTCTTCTTACTTGTGCGGGAAAAAGCACTTAGGAAAAACTCCAGGTGAACCCAGCGCTACTCTTTCAGCAGAAGAGAAACAGGCCATTTTCGAAATTTGAACTGCACTTTCAACCTTCGAAGAGGATTGTAGAGATTGTTCAAAAGAATTTGGATGATGAGTAAAGTTCTTGTGATAGTTCGAGATTATATATGGGATAAGGTCTAACACAAACGTAGAATTAAGGTCATGGATATTGGGTTTTCTTGGTTACATAGAAAAAACCGTTGACTTTAATTCGAAGCACCTATGACTGAAAGGGCTAAATTAATTTCGAAAATTAAGCTTTAAAGATCGAAATAGTAAATCAGACAAGTTTCATAATTGTCTTCTAAATTAGGAATTTGTTGTCAACTAAAAGATGGAACTTTAATACTAATGAAAAAAAAAATTAATGTGATAATTTTAAATTAAAATATTGAAATAATAACCAACAGACATGTTGCATATGATTATAAAAAAGCAATCAATAAATGTGTAACATGGAGAAGAAATATATTTATTTCATACAGGCAATCATCAGAGTTTTTTATTTTGTCTTACTTGTATATAAAGGATAAACAAGCGTGTTTCATGTGATAATATTCCTATGTACACATTTACTTGATGTATTCATACTAATACAGTTGTAAATATCATAATAAAGGTTAAAAAAAAAAAGGATAAATGGACCAAAATAGTTGAGTATTCAAAAAGTATAATTAGAACCAATGGTAAATTAGTTTTAACAATATGATTATATCGAAAATTTTCGTTGAACAAATTCATCTTCATTCTTCAGTTAATACTGCTTTGATGTCCACTATTATCACTAGCAGTTAAAAAGTTTGTTAATTTGGTGTTCTATGTAAAAAATATAAACTAAAATAACAAAAACATTTATTTTTATAAAATATATGAATAAAGTAAAATAAATGAAATAGAAGTTATTTAATACTTCTGAAAACAGTTGTGTAAGAATTAAATAAAATAATCCTTTAATTCTCAATTTCTTTCACTTTAATTTTTCATTGATTATTTTGTTGTTTCTCATGATTACAAATGCAGTGCAAAATTCATGACTTGTTAAGTGAAGCAAATGTCTAAAACATCATCAATTGAATCCTTAGAAAACTGGTTCACCTACCTACTTGGAATTGGGCGGTAAGAATCAGGACGGTCTACAGGCTTATTGGGTTTGTGAATCATAGTTATGATTGAGTATTTCCATAAAATCGGAAAATGTGTCGTTCTAAGAATGGAATTGAATATATTTGTTAAGAATATAATGGCCTTTTTTGGTAAATTCTTTAGAATATAGTTAGTGATGAGATCGAACCCTGGTGATTTTCGATTAGGCAAACTATTGATAATAATGCTAACTTCGTTTGGATGAAATGGTTTAGGCGGGAGGGTCACATCTAAAGGAATATCTAATTGACGTTCTATGAATTTTGCACTGCGCGAATCTTGCAAATCACTGTGAGGGGTAAATATATTTTCTAAGTGACATTCAATTCAGCTTTCTGAGCATCTGACTTTGCCCACGAGCCATCAGGATATCGAATTGGATGCGATGTCTCATGATGATTCAACAAGCGTTTTGTCATTCGCCAAATAGACGTATTGTTGTTATCCAAGCTATTTAGTAGGGTATTAAAATTTTCATTTTTAAATCGTCTGATTTCTTCTCGCAATTCCGTTGTTAGCTGATTAAATTTGGACGTATCTGAAGGATAACGAGTGCGCTGCCACTTCTTACGAGCTTTTCGTTTCTCTTGTAAGAGGTATTTAATTGACTCTTGGAGGCTATTTTTCATATTTCTTACCCTGGACTGTTTTAATGGACATAAGGAAGAATTACAAGCCGCTTGTTGTATAGCTTGCGTTAGTGATTGGACTGCATCGTCAACCTCATCTGGGGTCCGCAAGAGGGTGTTCAACGAGATAGACGAAAGGTCAAACAAACTTTCGATGTCAAAGTGCAGCTGGTTGAGCCCTTTATTAATAAAGAAATCTAAAACATCAGGAATTCTATTAAGATCAGTAGGCCAGTATGTTGGTGAAGGAGGTGAAACATGAGAGCTGCTGGAGATTATAGCATTGTGAAGGGTCCTTCCTCGGGTATTAGTCATTCTGCTGCCCCATATTTGGTTTTTAGAATTAAAGTCACCTCCGCATAGGAATCTATGACCTACATTATAAAATAATGTATTAAAGGATTGAGAATACAAGGTTTCATTAGGTGGGCAATAGACAGCAGCGACAGACAACTCAAAGGGAAAAACTTTTAGAACAACGGAGGTACTCTGCAGACATTCACTTGCCTCAGAAGAGTTAAAGTAGTGTCTAATAGACTTTTTAACTAGAATGAGTGTGCCACCTTTAGTACAGTAATATAACAATATAAAATATAACAATAATTAACTATTTCACTACTTTTGTGATGAACTACTTAAGTAACTAACTATACAAATAACTAACCGCCTCATTACTTTTATGGCATTAAATACTTCTGGTAGTTGGAGATGTTGATAGTAAATTTGTTATTCCTTCGCGAAAAAATAATATTTCGAAAACCAAAAATATTTATTGTTATTATTGTATATTATCAAAATAAAACTAAATTAATGTTATTAATTAAGAATTATAAGGAAAAATGATATCCCATAAAATATACCTCATACTGGTTAATGCAAGAATATGAACATTCTTTTTTCCACTATAAAAGAGCTATTCTAGAGAGATTTATCGTTTCATAAGACCACCAGAAGTATGACAGAAGAGTGACGCAGGATTTACGCAGACGGGAAAGGATCATCTACAAAAGCCTTGAAGACACCCTAATAACGGTAGGAAGAAAAAAAACAGTATGACTTGCTGGAATGACGAAGCTGCAGTTATTTCGAGAGGAGATGACGTGATGTGAGCGGGAGGATATCATTAGTGGAGATCACGTGGCTTCAGGAAATCCGTACGTCCCCTCACCCCGTCCCAGGGGAGCTCTCTTTTTATACTGATCTCATCTATATCTTTCTAATACATCTCTCCTCTGGGACTTAACTGTGAAGCATATGTTTGAGGGTGTTTCTAGCTTCGGATACAAGCTGTTTGCTAAGAGGGATCAGATAATATACATGAAATATATACATGTATTTCTTACATGGATGTAATAATTATGATATGATTAGCTTCAAAAGACTAATGAATATATTTTATCCGGAATTTAACATTTTAATTAATTTTTATTTGAACCATTAAGTACATCATTTTGAAAAAAATAACATTTTTTTTTCATAATTATATTTAAAAAATAGTTTTTTTTCTTCTAGATTCAATAATTTTACCTCTTTTTTTTAAATTTTATATTGTTCATGAAGTTCACAACTGCATTGAAACAAAAATACATATAGTAAATGTGAGCAAAGAAATATAATGACATGAAAAGACTTGTTCAGAAACTTCCCACTGCTAACACTGTGATGCCAACTTTATTATAAAAAATAAATTATTAATAAAAAATAAATATTATAACATTAAATATTATATAAATCATTTTATAATCTTAAATTACAGATTTTAATTTAAAAAGAAAGACGGATAGTAACCATTATTATAGTTGAAAAATTAAATGTATAAATGAATTATAATCCATTTGGTGAATATTAACTTAATGTTAGTTCCCGTAAATCAGAGATAATGATTGAATATTTTTAGTTTTTAATTCAAAGAAAACTAATTTTTCAAAAAATATGTTTTGAAGATTTCTTTCTTACGATAATTTTATGCATAAAAAAATAAAAATGAAATTTATTTTAATGAAACTTGACTAAAGTCTTCCTCATGAAATTCTTTTAATTTATATATATAAACATAATTTCCCGAAAACAAGCTACAAAAAATGTTACGATGAATTGAGAACATTTTTAGATTGATAACATCCATATTTATTTGAAAACTTCCTGAATCCCCTAAAAAAAAAAAAAAAATAAAAAAATCATCGAATCGGAATCAGATGAATTGTTGCAGAGTTTTTAACATTTACTAGAATACTTTATCTTCAGGAAAGGCCATTTGCCTTCTTTTCTTTTTTGTTATTGATTAATCGAAAATTTCATAATTACTGCAGTAATTGAGATTATCATTTGAAGAATATGATTCTCCTTATGTTGGTCAATACTATACGCTCTTTATATTCATTTGTTATGTTTCCCCAATGTATTCTGGAAGTAGAATGATACATCTTAAATATTTGATAAGCTATTATTTAAAAATATTTAACCCTTGAGTAATAATTAACACCGTTTATGTTCCTTTTATAAATCAGTTTGTCATTGATTTCAGTTTATTTTATTTATCAATAAATTCTTTTCTTTAACGTTATGTTAGAATACTGCTGTGTACCGTATGGTTTCTTTCTTAAGAAGAAGCAAGCAATCAAATATCTTAGGAGGGATATGCGAAATCTTTTGAGGGAGGTGGAAGGCAGCTCTAATGCACACGAAATGAACGCTATGGTAAATGTTATAGCGCAATTTCAATGCATTGCCATGTTTAATATTTGAAAATCATTAACATCGAAACATTTTCGCAAATTTGAGCCGCATGTGTTGCATTTACATCCAAATGATGGTGCGTTTTTAATAAATATGTATACTTTCACCTAGTATTTTATAATAGTAGGTATATTAAACCACGCGCGTATTTAATTGCAGCATTAAACCAAAATCTGAAGGCAATAGGTGAAGAACTTTCCGAGATTTGACAGTTCGGACAAAAGAACATTTATATTTTTATTTGCCATAAAATGATCAACACAAAGTTTAACATTAAACAAGACATTAAATATTTTAAAAAATAATAATAAAATTAATGATGAAAATATATGAGTGGCTTCATATCAAAGACGGATCTCTGTCATTTTCAGAAAGCGGAGATAAAGTCAATTTTAGTTTTATAAGTTCAACTCATACTGTTTCTGATGATTAGGAATGACAGCGTATCCACACTGATGATTAAGAATGTTCAAGTTGAATCATGAAAACAATATATATTAGAATTAATTTAAACTGAAGCCATGTTAAAGAAAAATTTGTTTCTAAACTTTTTAAAAATGATAGATGTCCTTTGGTATTAATCCACTGATGAGTGCTTTCTTTTCCATTTTGCCAGACTGGCCACAGCAGAGCGTGGCCGGGTATGATTAGTTATTAATAAGAATAATAACATCTTGTATAGACGAGAAGTGTTAAATAATAAATAAATTAAGTTAGGATTGACGGGCGTGTAACCTTATAAAAGGCTCGTTAAGTACAAATAAATATTTTTGATTATTATTTTTAGCGACATCATTGCTTATCCTGACATCCTGACCTAATCGGAGTATTGCCTATACTTGGGATCAGAATTGCAGTGTCATTTCGTGAAAAAATCTTGCTTACATTTCCCCTCCAAATTTAACTAAATTTTCCCCAAAATTCACCAACTTTAACTCTTAATGTTGATTTCATGTTTTTATATTTTCGAAATTAAAATAATACTCTAGAAAAAAAAGTGATTTAACATTTTTAATTAGATTAATTGAATATATTTAATATATTACTGTAATTAGTTGTAATAGTTAAAAGTCAGAAGTCAAATTATGATTACTAGCTAAGTTAAAACAGGATAAATAGGAAAACAGGAGGCCTCATTTACCACTGGTTAAATAGGCTTCTAAATAACAATGATAAAAGTGTAAAAATGAGATAAATAAAGTTTTCATTTAATCTTCTTTGATACAGTTTATTGATTTCCATATTTATTAGATTATCTTATTGATAAATATTGTGAAGGTCACAGGCGGATCTACGGGGAGGAGGGGGGGGGAGGGCTTTCGGGCTGAAGTCCCCTCCCCCCAAATTGATAATATATAACCACCACCTTTTTCTACATGGACAAAACTAAATTTGAAGAAAATTATTATATATATATATATATATATATATATTTTTTTTTTTTTTTTAAATATTACAATCTGTCTCAAGGACATTTATAATAGTGTTCACAGATCACATTCACACACTATGTACAATAAATAAAATAAATTATAAAGAAGAATAATATATATACAATAAAAAAGAATAACATAACCTAAAAATAAATGAATAAAAAGAACACATACCTATATAAAATAATAGAGAAAATTAAATTAGTAAAACAAAACAATGCCCGAATAGGCACGTATTATTTACGCCAATAAACTTAACTGTCAACTTATAATAATAAGTACAATAGACACAATTAGTGTGTATTTTATAAACAAATATATATATATATATATATATATATATATATATATATATATATATATATATATATATATATAAATAAGTTACTGAAAAAGAGAAGAAATAAATAATAAGTAGTAAACATGTTGAGGAGGCTGAAGTCTTCTCATAATTATTTGATATGGGTTCTGTCTTCGCGGCAGATTTAGCAATCATTAAAAAGAAATATCAACGGTAAATCAAAGCTGAACCTCTCGTGCTGTCGGTTGAGGCATCTGCAGTCGTCACTTGAAGACCCCCTGCAGTTCTTCATTGAGGGACATGTCAGGGAGCATTATACTTCAAGTGCCGTTGCATATTCAGATCGGGCAAAAATAACAAGCAGGTATCCATAGACATGCTAATGCAGAGCCGCCACTAGAGGCATAATCCTATTTGTAGTTCTAGAACTGTCCACTTATGTCGCTTTTGTCAGCCTCTCCGGGCGGTCGTTGAGTTGAGTATCTACTAATAGGGAGTACCCTGAGAGTAAAAATATACTGTGTATGCTGTGTGAATGTTTTTATTATTATAACTGAACAGATATTTTTTTTCAATTGTTACGTTTTCCATTAAATGATTACAATTGTAAAATATGTACTTCAAAAAAGACAGTTTTTTTAATTAACGAAAAATTCTTTATTGAGATATATTACAATCTGTCACATCTAAGACCAGTAGTAGTAGTGATAGAAGATTAACTCACACACAGAAGATAAACACACTATGTACAATAAATAAATAACAAAATAATAGTACGAAAAGTAAATGTATATAAACTAAAAGAAACCAAGCAAATCAAAACAGCTACTTAAGTACATACATGATTTTATACATTATTTACAAAATTTATTCACTCAAGATCTTCGAGCCAAGCATTTCCCCCCACTCGTGGAAAAAAAAGGCAGGACTCTAGGAGATCCCAGTGCCTCTCACTGTGCCGCATTACCTTAAAAAAGAAAGTAAGAAGTATTGAACTCAATTAAGTAAAGATCTGTGTTTCTTCCTCCTCCTGTATTTTTCTCCTTCATATTGTTATACTTCATTAAAATAAATAAAAACATAAATAATTTGCATATTGTTAACCATTTCTCAATTAATTAACAAACAGTTAATTTATTTTGCTCCAACTACTAGGAGAGTTTATATGAACTTTATTAAAAACTTTATAAAAGTGGTTGATTATGTTGCTGCGCTTTATCTCCAACCTGGAGCGAACGCGTATAAAGGGTACTCATCACAGGCGAAAAGATTTTAATGTAAATTAAGAAAGTTTATGATATTTTTAGTAAAATGAACCTTAACTACTATTGCATGGCAGCTTTCTTAAAAAATGTCGACTAGTTTGAAGCATATAAAGCCAATAACTTGTGTATCGAAACGATAAATTTATAGTGAAGAATGTGTAAGTTTTTATTTTTTAACTTGTATATATGGGTTCAAAGAAGTAACAAATAAAACTCCAAACGCGGGCCAACAAAGGAATATTTTTTACAGCAAAAAAAGCTAAATTTTTTAAAATCATTTTTTTGCTTTTTCTTACTTTTTAAGTAATTAAAGTACGTTAAATTGTTCGTCAAATGAGCAACTAAACTTAATAATGTGATGCTGACTAAAACCATGGCCAACGAAACTGATTCTCACCAAATTTGTTTAAAACTGAGATGAATTTTCATAAATGGGTCCTGCAGCTCGACGAGTTTGCTAAGCGAAAAATCTCCTAAAATTAAAGTTGTAGAGCATCATATAGGTCGTATTTAATATAGGTTATTTACTTCAATCATAATTGGTATATCCTATGGAAGCTAATTTTTTATGCAGATATGATGGGTGAATTTCAATGTTTCAAATGTATAAATGTTTATATTACCGAATTGTTCTTGTTTAGAGCCTGTTATAAGGAGTATAGATCACCTCTCGCCAGCTAAAGATTTTGAGAAGCGAGTGGTTTGCACACGTAGAGAATTTCTCTAGGTTGCTGTATCATTTACGCTGGAATACAACACAAACGCTTCACACACACCTTGGACGTGTGTTTCCCCCCTATTCCCCTAAGAGAGGGATGGCCAGGAGGAGGCTAATGATGATGATGTTTTGCCGACTGAGAGGCAGCGCAAGAGGTCCTGCCAGTGGCACCACTTAGCATATGACAGATCGCGCGGTCCTCCAAGGACCAAAAACCGGCTCCTGAGTCCGGGGGGCATTAGTCTTCGTGCCACCCCCAGCACCGCTTAGCTCCTGTCTCTTTTTTTATACACTCGCCTTTTTCATCAGCCTCCAATAAATCGTGCTTGCAATAATTCTGTTTCAGGAAGGTGCAAGGCAAAGAGGTCCTAGTGGTCTCGGCAGTTTCTCACCCGGCTTCCCTGGTGGCAGTGTTGTTGATTGTTTTAACAAGTAGCAATTTAATTTTATAAACATAAATAGGTATTTATGTATGTGTATATATATGGATGATCGGTCTCAAAGATATTGTAAGTGCACATTTGTATAGTTTGGATTACACAAAAAAAGCAATATTTTAATGCTTATACTGATTTATTTTTTTACATTGTGTATTTTACAACTACATATATCTATGATGATCACTTGAAAAATTTGTTTAGATCAAAATTAGGCATTTTCCAATTGTTTTCAACTCCAAATGTTATAAAACAAAAAAATAAATCAATAAACCGAAATTAGTGATAAAAGAATATATTTTGAATAAACAAGCTACTGAAATAAATAGGTTAAATATGTTACTATCGGAAATTATTAATTAAAAATAGAGATACTAAAAATAAACAGTAATGGGTGTTTGAATAATTTCAAACAATCAATTAATTAGATCTGAACATTAAGGTTTGTGCTCTTATATTCCGGATCCCGGGATCGATTCCGACTGTGGTAGTTAATTATTAGTATTATCCCCGTTGGTTCCTGATGAAGTATGGAACATCAACAACTGCATCTCATACTTCTCTTTTTGAAGAAATATTTTTTTCTGTTAGTCAAGACTTGCGTGGCCAGACTTACTTGGCCGAGTCTTTCTTAGCTCAAGTCATTTTGAACAGACAAGCGCCACGTCTCTCTAGGTCTTCTTCTTTGAGGATTCCATTACAAAGCTTTTTCCGTTGGCGCTATCAATTTAATGAAAGTATGTCTTATCCATTCCCATTTCTTTTTCTTTAATTGAAGATGAATAGGAAGCTGCTCTTCAGGCCACCAGATCTCCAGGATTCCTCGCAAGAAGCGGTTGATGGAGGTATAAAAAAGGGTTGGGTTTTCAGTCACCTTCAATGTTTTACTACTGTGTAGCAGGTCTGATTTTACGTTGGTGTTAAACAACTTTATTTTTGTTTTATTGGACAATTCTTCGTTCTTCCATATTGAGTAAAGCTCAACAAACGCCCCATTAGCTTTCTTGATTAGACACTTAGCATCTCCCACATTCTACATTTCCCCTTCTTTGGTAATCACGCTTCCCAAAATGATTAATGATTCCACCCTTTCCACATTGTTACATCGCTCCGCACATTGTTACCGACGTTGATCCGCAGTACAACACAGTTAGCGATTCGGCTCCATCCATCTAATTTCATTTAATTCTTTTTACGAATTAATATTATAATTTGGACTCGGCTAATATATGGCGACTGGTTGAATAATTACGGTAGAACCATTAGACTGCTTCTTCTTAGTGCTTCTTCTGTCGTTGATCTAGTGGATTGCACTATTCTATCTTGCCAGCTCTCCAGACTACCTTCTCCAACAGCAGTTCTACTTCGACAACTACACAAGACTGGCCATATTTTTTACCACTTGCTCTGTCCGGAATAAATGTAATTCAAATATTTTCTATTGCATGTTTCCATTTTAAGCAGAACATAAAATTGACCCTCTACTTCTTTTTTGGCAGAATCCTTTGTAATCTGGCCTGTGAATTTCTCTTATCTTCACAACATACTAAGATACTTTTATTGAACACATCGCTTGCCAACCAAGTAGAAGTGGCATCTTTAGTTTCAATAATTTTTTTACCTGACTCTGTGACCTATTCTTTTTTACCTTAAATATCCCATTCTTT